AGCAGATGGCTTAGCACTTATGTCACTGGTCTCCCACATGACCAACTGCTCTTTGAGTCCTGGACCTGATGGCTTGAAAATCACACCTGGACATGTGTGCATGCATGACCAGGGTCTCAGGAAGAGAACAGAGGATAGGGGATTTCCAGATGGCTATGTCTTTGGGGAATAATTTCTTACTTTCCCTCTCACTATGTGAATCTTTTTCTTCAGCAATCTAATGCACGCTAAGGCAAAACCTCTCAGAAAAAAATGACATTTCTTAGTGTTAATACTAAAGTCAAAATTTAAGAGATTAAGACCAGAATAATTCTAGAGAATGGAGACAGAATTAAAAATATTACATAACAATAAGAAAAATATTGAGCAATTTTTAAAATCTCAAAAAATAGTTTTAGCGAATATTAATTTCAAAGGTAAGAACTTCCAAGTAGAAAATGAACAATTAAAAGACCAATAACTGCAGAGAGTAGTGTTTTTACAAATTGGTAGAAATATTTGATTTAGTCAATAAGTGAATAGATTTGAATTAAATATATAATTTTCAACAAAAACATACTTAACACTTTTTTTCAAAGAGTTGATGTAGAAGTGTATAAAACTACAGAAAAAAAAAAAAAAAGTACCAGAAATGTGCCAAATGGTTGAAAAACTGGCAACCCAGATGCTTCTTTTTGCTTTATTTATTTAATGTTATTTGCTATTATTTTCTTTTGAATTTTCTATAGGGCATGTGTATGTGTGTGTGTGTGTGTCTGTCTGTCTGTCTGTCTGTGAGAGAGAGAGAGAAAGAGAGAAAGAGAAATCAAGTTACCTGTGTCAGACTTGAACTGTGGTCAGCTTATAAGTCTAGTCACTTAACTATCATACCAATTGCTAGCCCTCCAGATGCTATATAAAATTTCCAGAATATAGGGAAAATAAAAAATGCTTCAATTGTTGTTTCTGGACCTACATAGAAACAAGATGATATGTGGGACATATTCAAAAAGGGTTATAAAGATGAGTGTAATAATGAGAAATGTAACTCATAATTGAGTAGTCGTCTTTCTAATAGTGTCAAGGGAGCATGGTAGTAATGTTATCCTCACAGAAAATCTGAAATATTTCAGGTGATATACATCTTAACTACCATAATCCAATTGTTCCATGTTATAGTTCAAAATCCTAAAACGACTTTGTATTTTCATATATTATATATATATATATATACACTATTGCCTATGCATATGTTTTTAAAACATAAAAAAATGGGTGAATGTGTGCACTGCTTATTCAAAGCCTGTAAAAATGTTGTGTTCTCTATACATTAATTATCCTCCTTTAAAATCACCTCTCTTCAGGTGGCAGAGTCATCATTCAGTGAAACAAAGCTTCATCTCTCTCACAAGGCTCTGGAAACCTCTCTTCATTGTTTGGACACAATGAGCTTAAGCAGAGAGAAAAACAGTCCAAGGTTTTCTAGAGCCCTGTGAATATTACTCACACCAGCTCCATGTACCAGTGCAGGAGAATCTCTGAATGGATGCCTGGACCTAAACCTTTATGTCTTGTGGCTTGGCTGAAGAATTTACCCTGAATTACATGAATTTATG